TGCTATTAGTGCAATGACAATGTACAGTATTAACACTGATCACTGTACTACATTTTGGCTTAAATATATGAAATAAATAAGAAATTGATGTTTGGAATTGTTATTGGATATGTTTTGTTAAACTTAAGGTATTAAATATTGTTTTTTTCCCAATTTTCAGTCTTTTTTCATTTATATAATAAAAATCCCAGTGGTGGTCGAATACCAACAAAAGAAAGCTCTATTTGAGTGAAAAAACTACATACATTCCATTTGGGTACAGTGTTGCATGACAGCACAACTGCCAGTAAAAGTACTACAGTGCTGAATAGCAAAAAAATGCTCTGGTCATGAAAGGGGTAAAACCTTCCAGATGTTAAGTGGTTAACATTCCTCCATCTCACACGCTGGTCTATAAAAAAGCCACTGCTTACGTTTTTTGTAGGAACTGCAGGAGTGTCACTCTCATGTTCCCTGTATCATTTAATGCTTTCTTCCAAAGACCAACATATGTCTCTGGGACAAGAAGTGGAGAGAAAATCTCCCCAAACAGAATGCAGGTGACAATAAAAACCTGGCAAATGTTGTAATTCTTCCCTACTTGAATAGATACCCCCCTTTGGGTATATTTCCCATGACTGCCTGCTCTGTGTGAAATATGAAAATAAATGTCTTAAAGAGCACCAAGGGCAATAATACAAAGTTACAAGGTTTTTATACAAATAGATAACAGCCAGAGTGTTTCAGGGGCTCCAAGACCTTGTGCTGTTTTCAAATTATAACATCAACTTTTTTTTGCTCAGACCTTTCTTTCCAGTTAAGGATTGCTAAATCACAATGTAACTCCTAAATTGAGTGGAACGTTTTACAAGATTATTGTGAGTGTATTTTGGCACTCACCTTTCTACATATCTTGAGACATTACCCAGAGGGCCATGTTAGATCTCAATATGGATTATTAGAAGCTGCTTCGCAAACAACTGAAACATCAGATTGGAATACTCAACTAAACAGGGATTGAGTGCTCTACCATCTAACTTCTTTAAAGGGAACCTTTCCTATTTAGAACAAAGTGATAGTATCTTTGTAAAGATATTCACTTTACCAGTGCTCTCTCACTGTGCCTGCTTTAATTGCATCTGACACTGAATGTTTGACACTAAGTGATCACATGGACACTTCTTTGATCATGTGACTGCACTGAGGCTAGTTAGATGGCTGATAGAACCTTAGACTGTCACAGAGAAACAGACCATGTCCTCAATACCCAGAAATAGCAGGTATTGACCACAGAAGGAGGGTGGGAAGTACAAGTGTGTTACTATGGCTATTTTAGCGATTTTTATAGCATAAATATAAGTAGAAGCTAGGCTTCCCCTATTCATAAGCTAATGAACTTGTTGGACTAGTTCATGGGCTTTTGCTACAGGAAGTGATGAGGGTAGGAAGTATGGGGAGGGAAAAATAACTTGGACACAGCCTCATGCTCATTCGCTAGGAATGATAGGTAGTGCATGCATGTTGCATATTTTGAATTGTTTTTTCCACAAATTTACAGCATGTTTGTTTTGTAAAGCATTGTAATAAACTTCAGAGGTTTTTTATGCTTCCTTGCTTTCACCTCAATAAACCTTAGACCCAACACAAAACAGCAGGTAAGTGAGTATAAGTGTGTAGGGAGCAATAAACCTGTCAAGTTTGCCCTGCTTATATAAGATCTTTACACAAATAAAAGTTGAAAGAGTTTCTAATGCTTTTCCATTTTATCCAAAACTCCAAGAAAAGTTTAGGCTGGAGTTAGGCTTTAAAATGCCTGTGTGTACTTACCCTGGGTGACACAATTTCAAGACAGCCTTACAAAATATCTGCTGAAAACCTCAATGACAAAAAATGAAAACTCTCTGTTTCTAATCTTTCCTCCCAGCAAAAAATGGGGTTATTGTTCATTATCTGAGAACTTCGGCAGCTCAAAATATGATTTTGCTTTGAACTAAAGGAAAAAAAATATGTGCAAAAACTAACTGTTATTAAATTGCTCTGCATCCACGTCAGTCCAACTGCTGTGCACCTGAGGGAGGGAAGAAAATAAATATGTATCCTTACATTGTTCGCTTATCGTATGTATGGCATTTCGCATCCTACCCAGGTGGGTCCGAGGTGATGAGAGCAGCTTCTGCCACATGAGGCCACAATTGAAGAAGATGCCTATGAAAAGATCATAAATGGAATGAGGGTCTGTGCTTTTGTGCTTTGCTTTTGAAAAGGCAAACTTCATCCTTGTTAAAGTGAAAGTATAATGGCTTTCTTTTTTATTTAAAAACATTTTCGAGCATTTAGAGGTTTAAGAGTGAATATTTTTTGTATCGTATTTCAATATTTTTATAAACTTTTCATTTTTACATAGAAATACACAGGTTGCCACTATAACTATCACTTTGGGATTGCTAGTTTACTCTTGGCAATAGCCAGATATTGGTAACAGCCAATATGGCATGTATCTAAAGCTATTTTTTTCTAGTTTTGCATAGAAGAGTAAAGGAATTACAATCCCTGTCAAGTTTTTATTGCTGTCTGTATGTCTGGGAAATTTACTTTCTGCTTCTTATCCTGTGGTGACCAGTCTCATGGGGGACACTTGTTCCAGTGACAACTGTCCAGGAAGGCATTTCTCTCACTTGGTGCATAAAGGACAGGAACAGAGTTTTGTTCTTTCCCTACTCTATCAGCTTAAATGCTTTGGTTTCTGTGCTTACTTTGGGTTTCGAGTTGTACTGATTTCACCTGGGCTCCATAATAACTGTGCACTTGTGGATTTAGTTTTGTTTAGATTGTATTAATTGATAAATTGATAAAGGATTGATATTTTCTCAATGGCCAATACACATCAAATACACTGGGGTTGATTTAGTAAAGGCAAATAGAATTTTCACTTGGCAAAATTTTACAAATGGCTGTGCTAGCTTAGAGATGACCATGTGATGGCTGCAAAATATTTTAACCCCTTCATGTCTAAGGGTAAAACAAATACAATTTTGCAACTTTGACATGTATTAGCAAAACCGTACATATCATCACAACTACTTTGTACATGCAGGTAGATTATACTGTGTTTTAGTTTAAGGACACATTGAGCTTTCATTTGGTGGTAAATGGTAATGGATATCTCCTGATTTCTTTTTTTATAATCAAAGGAAAACTGGCCTAAAATAGTAAAAAAAAATATGTTTTTTTAAATTTTGCTGTATATTTCTTGCTACTACCATAACCTACCACCAAAGAACAACTGACAATCCTGACAATCGCAGTGATACCACATATGTGTATGTTAGTTGTTGTTTATCCCAGTAGTGTGGCCCATAAAAAATAGTGAGAATTTTGATTTTTTTATCCTACCTAAAACACATTGACAGTGATACTAATCTGAAAAAAAAAAAAAAAAAACCTGACCAAAAAAAAAAAATTCTGACCCTTGACTCTGACCTTGACCTTTGACCCTGACTTCAACCCAAACACTAACCCTGGCACTGACTTAGATCAAACTTTGATCTAAGTATTTTTTACAATTTAAATTTTTTTTTTTTTTTTATTATATTTATTTTTTTATTTTACATACACTTCTTTTTTGTTTTTTTTCCTCTCTCTGAAAGGACAGAGAGAGATACACTGTATCTCTCTCCTTCATTCAGAGAGAGAAAACACGGAGCAGGCTTCAAAGTGACTGATCAGTCAACCAGAGGCTATCATAGTGATCAAGTGACCTGGAATCGGGGGTTCGGGGTTCCGATCGTTAGAGCGGGACCCAAGGCTCTCAGTGACACCCCATTCTCTGTGCTTAACCAGTTGCCTGCCGCTCTATAGCAGAAATACTGCTACAGGATGGCAGGGCTGTGCAAACTCAGGTATATACAGGATTCGCATTTCTGGGTAGGGAGGGGTGTGCGCGCCACGATACCTGCGCCGCCATTGGTGGCAACAGATGTCAATCACCAGGTCATGGCAGCAGATTCTCCGCCGGCACCCAGCGATCGCCGAGTAACACTGACAGGGGAAAGACCTGTGTTTAAACAACACAGGCCTCTCTCCTGTTTGCAGGATCGTGCTGCTGTGTATTTCTCTGCACAGCAGAGAAATACACAGCAGCATGTTTCCCAAGTAAAACACACACAGCACATTGTAAAAACCAACACAGCACACAGTTAACCCTTTGATCACCTCAGATGTTCCTGCCCAGTGTCATTAGTACAGTGTCAGTGTTTTTTATTAGTATTCAGAAACAATTGAGTACTGTCCATGATACTTTTTTTATTTGCACTAACATACAATTTTGAGGACAAGCTTTAGGGGAGTCTCCCCTTCTTCAAGGTCCAAGCAGTACTATTAGTGTCACTGGGGATGTCAGTGGCAGTTCCCCCTAGTGTCAGAAAGTCCTTCAGTCTCGCTTTAAGTCGCTGATCCCCGCCATTACTAGCTTAAAAAAAAATTCCAGTATATATACCGCCATTTGTAGAGGCTATAGCTTTCATGTTAACCAATTAATTTACATGTATTGGGTTTTTTCCTTAGCAAAGACATGTAACAAAATACGTTTTGGCCTAAATTTATGACAAAATAATTTTTTTATTTATTTTTTTTTTTACTAGCTACAGTATGTTTTAGAGCAAAAAGTCAAAAAAATATTGGGTTTTTTTTTTCAAAATTGTCAGTCCTTTTTTGTTTATAGCGCAAAAAAATAAAAACCGCACAGGTGATCAAATACCACCCAAAGAAAGCTCTATTTGTGCGGAAAAAAGGGCATACATTTAATTTGGGTGCAGCATTGCATGACCGCGCAATTGGCAGTTAAGGTAACACAGAGCTGCATCACAAAAAAATGGACTGGTCAAGAAGCGGAGTAAATCCTCTGGAGGGCAAGTGGTTAAATCCCAGTGCAGTGGGGCCACTAATTTGCGTACCATCGGCGTGAAGGGCTTAATTAACCTCCCTGACGGTATTTCCCGAGTGTAAAGAGGAATAAAAAGGTTTTCAGTACACAAAAGCAATACATTTTTACCCCGAGCTACACTCGGGATATACCATGCGGCAACTGCTCCGGCAAGTGTTCTTCATTTACCTTACCCTGTGCTCCCACGATGTGTCCCCTGGGAGCAGCGTCCCCGGCCATCTCCTCCGGCCGATTTGCCGGCAATTATCCGGCTTCTGTGTCCTGTCCCTGTGACGTCGGGACGCTGACGGGGCGCCGACCGCCGCCGCCGGCGGGAAATTTACAAAGAAAATTTTACAAAAATGTCATTTTTTGGTTTTTTTACATTTTACACATTGTATGAAAAACATTGCTGTTTCAAACCTATTTCACATACATATTGTCCCTAGTGCTTTGTCCTGTGCCCTGCCTGCATTTTGTCTATTCTTTCTGCCTGCAAAACTGAGAAATGTCCATTGGCATCCAAAAAGTGTCCAGTTTAGGTCAAAAGCGGTTTAGATCAGCTAGAGAACAGCGATAGTAAATCAGAACCACTTGAGGCATATTCTGTATTAATAATGAGCTCTGATAATGATTAACATCGTGGGGGAAAATTCGTAAATCAGAAACTGAAAACGATTTTGCGACTTTGCTACAGCAGGGCGATGTGAAAGACGAACTTGTTGCGCTCTATTTCACATTTCAGTGACTTTTTTGGTTTGATTATATTATTGAATTAAGTTTTTTTTTATTTTTATATTATTTTTATGATTATTTATTAAATTATAATTTATGATTTTGTGTTTCAAATTTTATCATACCCGGGATGTTTACTAGACTCTTGTTCGGACAGATTTCAGTGAGTTTTTCCTAAAAATTACAGCCTACAATAAAAAAAATACATATTTCCATGCAAAAAAAATGGTACCGCTTTCAGCACCAAAAATCGGAAATAATCATTACCGCCAGGGAGGTTAATGTAATATTTCCTATTTACCTGTTAAAGAGGAATAAAAAAGGTTTTTAGTACCCCTCACACATAAGCAATACATTTTAAACAACAATATACATTCTCTTTTATATTTCAGAGGCAACTGTATAAAGAAAAATTGAGAGAAAGAATTTAAAATGAGTCATTTACTCAAATTAATAATCACAAACATATGCAAACATGAGCCACTGTCAGTGGGAGTCCATGAGTATATCTCAGTTAGTAATAATCAATTCATTATCATTTCATTGCTCATATTTTTCAATTATAATCTAATGTTTAAAATTAATTTAAAGCCTAAAATTTGAAAAACAAAATAGTGCTGCTGACCTCGGCACTGACATTTTCTGCTGCTTGCTCCTTTCAAATCTTGCCTTTTTTACAAAGAACTAAGTGTGCTCCTGTGACCCACAGGAAAAGTGGGGCCAGAAAAGTTTTGGTCCTGCTTCTCCTTCAAACAAAAATTGTATGAAAAACAACTAGCAAACTTATACTCACTTTCATTGTTATTCCCTTCTACTCTTTTGGGGCCCTTGATAAATATCAACTTCTTCCAGTCATGAAAAAGCATGCAAACTCCTCGTAGAATGTCGTGATTAGTCCAAGTGGCCAGTACTCAGACCTGAACAGAGTGCTACCAGATGAGCAGAGAAGTTAAGGTTGAACTCCAGGCAGACCAATGAGGCATATTCTGTATTAATATAGCTCTGTATTCAATATTACATCATTTCATGTATATTTTTAAATGCAAGCAGGAAAAGTAGTCAGTTAGGCTTAGTGTTAACCCCTTGCAGTCCCTGTACAGCAGGGCTGGAGTGTGAAAGACAAAAGGAGTATCAGGAGCTAATCAGTTTGGTTGCAGTGCTCATATGTTAGCACAGTGGCTAAATGGTTAGGACTTTTTCCTGCCAGTATTGGGGTCATTGGTTCAAATTCCAGCCACAGCACCACGCCTGGAGTTTGCATGTTTTCCCTGTGTCTGTGTGGGTTTCTCCTCCAGGTACTCTGGTTTCCTCCCACACTCCAAAGACCATGCTGGTAGGTTAATTGGATCCTGTATAAATTTGCTCTAGTATGTGTATATATGAATGTGAGTTAGAGACCTTAGATTATACACTCCTTGAGGGTTAGGGACTGATGTGAATGTACAATATATATATCTAAAGTGCTGTGTAAATTGATGGTGCTATATAAGCACCTGAAATAAAGAAGAAGGAGAAGAGAGCAGTGTCAAAGAGATCATAAGTATCTTGCTTCTCTTTTCACTGTCCACTCACAAGCAGGAGGAAGAACAGAATTTGTACAGCAGAGAAAAATCAGATCTTCTGTGTTTCCACTCAGGGCTGTGCACATCTTAGGACTTGACATAGAGAAAAACAAAACAATTGACAGGCAAACAGGTCACTTATTTTTTGATATATGTATTTATTTATTTTTGTGTACATTCAGATTCTCTGCTGGAGTTCAGATTTAAAGTGGTTGTAAACCCTCACATATATCCAGTGAAGTGACTGGCCTCAGGAGATACACAGAGATAAAACAAATCCCTACATAAGGTGTACCTGTTTATCTGCACCATATGTCCTGTACAGCCTTCTACAACACACAGATGAAATAAATGTTCTCAGCAGCAGAAAGCAGGGGACAGGGATATGACATCACACATGCTGCAGAGGAAGAGCACAGATTTGAGTGTAATCTGAGAGCTGATTGAAGGAAAGTGACCCACCCTCCTCTTCACAGACTCTGAGAAACATACAGCTGAGGGTATAAGTCATTTGCTGTGCGCTGGAGAAGGGGGACATCTTCCAGGAGGCTGAGGTGTCAGCCTAATCTATTAGGAGTCAGTCATGCAGATAGCAGAAAGGAGAGATCAGAGAGGAACCAGCGTGTTGACATTACTGCTGATCACGCTGTGACATAAATGTAAAGATTTGAATAGCTGAGATGTGATCTGTAGAAATATGACATTGTAGATTTCGTCACATGACTTCCTCTGAGGGTGTGATCAACATACATATTTTTTATTATTTATATTGAATTTATTTTATATGTATATGATTTTTGTTTATTTTAGTTGTATTATTATATATTATGATGTATTTATGATGGTTTCCTACTTTGTAATATAAATTGGGATATTGGACAACCACTTTTATGTTTGTCCATATGATGGCAATATTGAGCTTATTGCTCTTCTCTTCTAGAACTTGTCCATTTAGATAAGACTAATTGAGTATATGCCATAATATATTCCATCATAAGATGACAGTAGAAGACTAATTGGTTGACCTATGGCATTGCGAGAGGTCTTATAAAAGACCGAACTTCTGTATGTTGATCACACCCTCAGAGGAAGTCATGTGAAAAGGGCGTGATCAGCAGTGCCGTCACCACGCACGCCATGACCACGTGGCTGGACCATGTGATTACTATTACGAGATTTGTAATCTACAGAGTGGGTGGTGAGACGCACATTGAAATAGCTAGTGGTTTCACTGCAGCTACACCTATCATTGAATGTTTTTTGTACTTTTATACAATGTGAGTTTTAGTCTAAGGGGGGTATTTGTTGGCAATAAACTTCTAAACAGTATTATGCAATGGCGAATGTTCTTTATTTACCCACATATGGAATTTGAAAAATACTTACCTTGATGGAGTTTGAGCTGGATTAACCATCTGATGAGTGACCATTATTACATCTGAGCCGATCTCGTTTAACCTCCCTAGTGGTATGATTATTTCAGATTTTTGGTGCTGAAAGCGGTACCATTATTTTGCATGGAAATATGTAGTTTTTTTATTGTAGGCCTGTAATTTTTAGGAATAACACTGAAATCTGTCCGAACAAGAGTCTATTAAACATCCCGGGAATGATAAAATTTGAAACATGAAATCATAAATTATAATTTAATAAATAATCATAAAAAATAATAATATAATAATAATACATTTAATTCAATAATATAATCAAACCGAAAACACTGAAATTTGAAATATAGCGCCAAGTTCGTACATTGCTGAGCAAAGTCGCAAAATCGTTTTCAGTGGCTGATGACGAATTTCCCCACGAATCATTATCACTCAATTCTGCAAGTGGTTCTGATTTACTATCGCTGTTCCCTAGCTGATCTAAACCCGCTTTTGATCTAAAGGGACACTTTTTGGACGCCATGGACGTTTCTCAGTTTCCAGGCAGAAAGAACAGACAAAATGTAGGCAGGGCACAGGACAAAGTACTAGGGACAATATGTATGTTAAATGGGTTGAAACAGCAATGTTTTACTATGAAAAATTTGTTTTGAAAAAAATGACATTTTTTTTCATTTTCAAATTTCCCGCCACCGTCGGCGCCCGTACGTCCCGACGTCACAGGGACCGGAACACAGAAGCCGGATGTCGGCATCGGCCGGAGGAGATTGCCGGGGACGCTGCAGGGGACACATCGCGGGAGCGAAGGACAAGGTAAGCTCTGCAGGGACTCCCTATGCAGCGCTGCATGGTAAGCCCGAGTGTAGTTCGGGGTTACCGCTTTTGGCACTGACATTTTACCCCGAGCTACACTCAGGAATACCGCTAGGGAGGTTAATGAATCTCTACATCTATTGGTATCTGATTTAAGGCTGATTAATCACCTGCATCTGGTGAGTTTGCACTTTGATGGGGTGTGGAGCACATCGCAGATCACGGTTGTGACTTTTGAAAGAAAGATTTGGACTTTACTTTATATTATGAACTGAGATTTTTTCACTTTTGCACTGTTTGGTGGAAGTGTTGTTTATTATTTATTTATTTTATTTTTATAGTTTATGTATTATTTTTATTTATTTATGAATTTTTCACTGTTTTATATTTCACACAGTTTTGGGGATTGAATTGCATCTCATTAGTGAGCGCTGTTTATGGTGGTCTTCACTTATTTATGTTCCTTTATTTTGAATTTATTTAAAATAGAAGCTCCAGTCACAGTTTGTTATATTTTGTTATTGATATAAATTATCTCACATTTTTGTGTGGTGATATAGGCTATATATATTTTTTAGCTTATGAATAATTTTTGCTTTATTTTTAACTATTGCACATGTTTAATAAGAAATTACCTATTAAGGCAGACATGTAGCTTTTGACATTGTTGCCGTTTTTAAAAATACAAAGGCTAAGGCTGTCAGTCAAGAAAAAAGAAATATTCGAACTGCAATTACTAAATTTTAAAAAGTTTACCTTTTACAAAAAAAACAATACACGCACATTTTTTGCAGGTAAAAAAAGTGTCTTTAATATTTTTTTTTGTACTGAAGACTGTAAGGCATTGCACCTGTGATCAGCTGATTGCAGGTGCAATGCCAGGTTCTTGCAGACTCTCAGGAAGCTGTCTGTCCATACCTCCCACAGACAGTTATCGAATGGTAGGAAGAACCAATGAATTACGAGAGTGCTCTTTAGCATCCTCGCAGTTCA